ACACCCATATATTGCTGGTAGTGATGTAAAATAGTGCAGTCACTGTGAAATTAAACATCAACTGGGCATAGTAGTGCATGCCTGTAATTCCAGCACTCTGGAGGCTGAGGCAGGAGGATCGCCATGAGTTCAAGGCCAGCCTAGCATACATAGCAGGACCTGTCTTAAAAAATAATAAGTTAACACAGTGACCCAGCAATTGCATTCTTAGATACGTACCCAAGAGAATTGGAGATATGTTTGTACAAAAACATGGATATGAATGTTCATAACAGGGTTATTCACAATAGTCAAAAACTGGGAAAACCCCAGATGTCCATCAACCATGAATACAAATGTGGTGTATTCATATATTGGAATATTATGCAGACATAAAAAGGAGTAAAGGACTGATAAATACTATGACGTGGATGAACTTTGAAAACATCACATTAAGTGAAAGAAGCCACATTCAAAGGACTATGTTTTATATAATTCCATTTACACAAAATGTGTAGAATAGCAACAGAGGCAGATGAAGAGCCAGAGGAGGGGAGGTGGGCAATGTGGGCAGAGGCTGCTACAGGCTGTGGGAGTTACTTTTGGGGTGATGAAATGTTCTGGAATTAGCTATTGGTGACAGTTGTAAAATCTGAATAAGCCAAAACCCACTGAACTGTACACTGTAAAATGGTGAATTCTGGGGCTGCGGGTAGAGCATGTGCTTAACATGCATGAGGCCTGGATGTCACCCTAGCACCAAAATAAATATATAAATGGTGAATTTTATTGCAAATGACTTATATCTCAATTTAAAAGTTGATTTCAAGGAACGAAGTCTTTTTTTTTTTTGGTACCAGGGAATGAACTCAGGTCCTTGTGCTTGCGCAGCAGGTGGTAAAACCACTGAGCTAAATCCCCGGCCCCTGAAGTCCTAAGATACACAACATAAATGAAGCCCAAAGCTGTAATCAAATGCAGAAACTACATACTATATGATTCCATTTATATGAAATCCTAGAAAAGTAAAATGATAGTGACAGAACCAGATTATAGCCTGGAGTTGAGAATCACTAGAAAGGGGGGTTTTTTGCTTTTGTTTTTTGGGGTTTTGGGGGTTGTTTGTTTTGGTTTTTGGTTTTTTTGAGTCAAGTTCTCGCTGTGTAGTCCAGGCTGGCATTGAACTCACAATGATCCTCCTGCCTCAGCCTTCCAAGTGCTGGGGTTACAGAGATGCACCACCACACCTGGTCTTGGAAAGGGCTTTTGAAACTGACATTTTTGGTTTTGGGGGGTACTGGGGATCGAACTCTGGTTCTTGTGCTTGTGCAGCAGGCAGCAAAACCACTGAGCTAAATCCCCAGCGCCTTGGAAAGGGCTTTTGAAGAAATTATTCTACATGTTGATTATGGTAACTCACACAATTGATGCAATTACCAAAATTTGTCAGTTTGTGTCCTTGCCAAATCTGTGAATTGCTTGTGTGTGTGCCATGTTGGTGATCAAACCCAGGGCCCTGCACATGCAAGGCAAGTGCTTTACTACTGAGCTACATCCCAGGCCTGATTAACACCCTAATTAAAAAAATTCGATGTCAACTTAAGGAGACATCTCTAATGATAGGCAACATCTAACATCCATACCGCCTTTGCTGGTTTAAGGCCTGAATATTCAAAATCTCCAAAATTTTACTACCTTGCAACTCTGTGAAATAGGTAGAATAAGTATTATTATCTCAAATTTGCACTTGAGAAAGCTAAAGTTTAGAAAAGTTGTGCTACTCAACCAGGTTCACATATGAAAACACTTACATCTTCACATCCCTGTGAAGCAAGTGCTATATCTGCTTTTTTTATATGAGAAAAGTGAAGGAGACATTAATTAACTATCAAGGGTAAACAGGATTCACACCTCGGCAGTCTGATTTCAAGAGCCCAGTTTTTTGTTTTGATTAGCTTTTCCCAAAATCGAAGGAACACAAAGTGACAGGAGCCAAGCACTGTGCACCTGAAGCTGAATGGAAATGGCCTGGGTTACCCACTTACATACAGTCGGGGCTTTAAACCCAGGGCCAGACCCTTCCCCAGTGGGAGCAGCAAGTCGCCTAACTTTCCTGCTTGCCTTTTCTATGCCTGTGAAGAGAGGATCACATCGCAAAGTTCCAGGAACTCCCCGGCCCCCAGACACAGCCACTCTGTGCCCCTCCATGGCAGCCATTTCCCAGCAGCGCATGGGTACTCACTGTATGTGTTGTAATAACAGAAGCAACTGTGTCCCAGGCCAGAGTTCACCTCACCCTACACCCTGGGCGTGAGTTTGCAGAAGCAGAGCACTGGAGAGCCTGAGCTCTCAGTCACCGCCCTCAGTCCTCCCACAGCTGACGCGAGCTGACACAGTGCAGGAAGCTCATGGAAGAAAGAACTGCAGGGAGGCATCTGAACTCTGTCGAGGTCCGGACCTAAGTCCCCAAAGCCCATGTGGTCACAGGTCAGAATGTGAGGACTCTATACTTCATGGTTTAGCTCAGTGAGACGGCCCTGGGTTCAATCCCCGGTACTGCCGGGTAGGGTGGTGCACTACTGGAGGCTGAGGCAGGAGAATCCCAAATTCCAGCCCAGACTAGGAAAATTCGTGATCTAACAAGGCCCTGCTTCAAAATGAAAAAGGGCTAGGGATACAGCTCAGTGCAAAGTACCTGGATTTAATCCCCAGTACCACAAAACAAAAACCAGTTTGATCAATTGAAGTGGGAATGACTTCAGGTAATACTATGGCAATAAAATGACAAAGAGTTGACTGGATATGGGAAAAAAATAACACGACAAAGCTGATAGAATCACAAATACAGTCCAGAAAGGAAACCAGTCTGAGAGGACAGAAAATTTTTTTTCAGTACAGGAGATGAAACCCAGGGCCTCTCTCCTATTAGCCAAGTGCTTTACCACTAAGCTACAGCCCCGGGCTTTTTTTTTTTTCTGTACCAAGGATCAAACTCAGGACCTTGCCCTTGTGAGCCAGGTGGGGTGCCACTGAGCTAAATCCCACCCCCCTGCCGCCCCTTTTTGTTTTATTTTTAAGGCAGGGTTTAAATTACCCAGGGTGATCTAACTTGCAATCTTCCTGCCTCCACTTCCCAAGTAGCTGAGGGTGCCCATGCCCAGCTTGGTTTTTTGTTGTTTTTGTTTTTGTCTTTTGAGACAGGATCTCACTTTGTAGTTTAGGCTGGCTCTGAACTCTCGGGATCCTCCTGCCTCAGCCTCCTGAGCACTGGGATTACAGGCATGCGCCACCACACCTGGCCCAGTTTAGTTTTTGTTTTGCAGTCCTGGGGAGGGAATCCAAGCCTTGCTCATGCCAGGCAAGTGCTATACCACTGAGCTACGGCCCCAGCCCAAGAGGATGTGTTTCGTTGGCTATGCTACTGTACATATCCACTCGCCCCAGCGAACTCTGGAAAGTGAGGGCTGAAACCAGGGAGATAACAATGGCCAAGGATAGAGAATGTACATAAAGGAAAATGTTGACACCACAGGAATATGATGTGACTAAGGAAGACATTAGAGAGAGAAGGCTGGTGAGAGAGAAAAGGACCTAGCAGGGACAGGCTGAGCTGACCACAAAGATGTCACAGAAGGGACCAGCTGAAGGGACTTTATGCCACAGGAGAGATGTTTGGGCAGTATTAATGTTCTGGGGGGTTTTGTTTGGTTGTTTTTTCTGGTACCTGGGATCAAACTCAGGATCTTCCACTTGCCAGACAGGTGTGGCCCTGATGAGCTAAAGCCCAGGCCCTGTTTTTTGTTTTCCTTCTCTTTTTTTGCTACTGGGGATGAACTCAGGACCTTGCGTTTCTGAGGCAGGCAGTGGCACCACTGAGCTAAATCCCAGGCCCTTTTGCTTCCTTTTTGAAAAGTCAGACCTGGGTACAGTGGTGCACACCTATAATGTCAGCAATTTGGGAGTCTAGGAAGATCATAAATTTGAGGCCAGCCTGGACAGTCTAGTGAGACCTCGTCTCAAAACGTAAGATTAAAAAGGGATGGAGATGTAGCTCAATGACAGAACACTTGCCTAGCATATGCAAGGCCCTGGGTTCAACTCCCAGCACCATGCACACATGCCGGGGGTGGGGGGTGGGGTCCCAGTCCAATCCTTGAAGCAAATATCAGCCTGAGCCACTGTGGGGGGGGGGTGTCCTCACTCGTTAGGAGACTGGCCACAGAGGGCGGCAGGCTGCCCCTCTTGACACAACGCCTTTCCTATGCCGGGAAATTCGCTCCGGCTCAGGAAGCCCGGCTCCAAGCTGAACTCCATGGTGTTTTCTCTGAGTCACTATATTCTCCCGCCGTGGCACAGCGTCTGGCGAAAGTCCCACAAGGGTTTTTTCACTGCTTTCTGAGTAACATCCAAACCTCTTGCTGGAGTCGGACGCCTTCCTAGGTCTGGCCCAGCCCATCCCTCTGGCAGAGGCTCCCCTGCATCCTTCTACAGCTCCAAAGGACGGGTCGCAGGCTCCTCTGTGACCCTGATACACTGCTCCTCACTCCTGACGCTCTTCCTCTACCCCAACCTTCTGCAGCCTTACTTATTTTTCAGTGGTTCAAGAATCGCTCTTCCATTATTTCTCCAGAAAGTGATTTGCTCACCCCTGAGCTCACGCACCATGTGTTTATCACACTCATCTATCTAGCATTGAATTGATCCATGTGTGTGCATCTTTCATAGATTGGAAATGCCATTGATAGGCAGTCCCGGAGGAAGCTTGTTCAGGATCACACAGCCATAGGTGCCCAAGTGGCAAAGATGGCATTGTAGCTCAGGCAATCTGGCTCCAGTGAGGTCTTGCTCTTAACCGCAAATCCACACCACACAGTAATCTTTGACCAGCCACAGTGCTATTTATTACTTTTCCAAATGAATGACTAAAGTCACTGATCTAATTAGTAGCTCTTAAGCCTTCAGTGACTACGGGCTACTGGGAATCAGCACCTCAGTCTCATTAATCTGAGTTAGTGCCTGCCATGGATCTAATTATGAGTGATTTCAGAATCGTAATTACTGTTCCATCTTGTCTCGTGATCTGCAATGCACACAAGATCTACTCCCGCTTCTCTGGAAGAAAAACCGCTGTGAGTACTTAAACGAGCAGAGGGGCTGTTTGTGAAACCTCCAGCCCACATCTTCACTGGGAAGTGATGCTGGGCCAGGTGGTCTGAGGGTCCCTTCTTCAGTGCAAACAGTCAGTGATTCCCAGACAGCACCAGGAGACACCATTTGGAGTCTCAACTCTGTCCCTTTTTGTTTTGGGTACAAGAGATCGAACTCAGGACCTCGCGCTTTCGAGGCAGGTGGCGGCGCCACTGAGCTAAATCCCCGGCCCTCAGCTTTGTCACTATTACAGGGACTTTTACTTAAGTTAGTTAACCTAACTGATTCTCCACCTGCTAAACTTCATTCATTCAAAAAATTTTTTGAAGGGGCTGGGGATTTAGCTCAGTGGTTTCGCCGCCTGCTGCACAAGAGCAAAGACCCGAGTTCGATCCCCCGTACCAAAAAAAAAAAAATTTTTTTTGAGGTGGTTATGGTGGTGCATGCCTGTAATCCCAGGGCCCTGGGAGGATGAAGAAGGCAGACCTCAAGTTTGAGCCCAGACTGGACAACTTAGCAAGACCTTGTCTCAAAAATTTTTTTTTAAATGCCTGGGATGTAGCTCACTGTGAAGGCTCAGGGTTCGATCTCCAGTACTGCAGCAAAGGCTTTCTGAATGCCTGAGTGCCAGGCACCGGGATTATAGTAATAAAGAAGACAGGGCCCTGCTCAAACAGCTGCACAAATCAGAGGAGACCTATATTGCAAGGCCGTCCTAAGGCACGGAGTCAAAGGTCATGGTCCTAACAGGACCCCAGTTTTGCCAAATCCAGTGACAACACAAATGCTATCTATTCTGCTGTTTATCGGAAAAGGCTGTTAGCGTATTTTAATCAGATCCAGTCGGATTTTCTTGCCGCCTTCACGCCTCGCCCCTGCCTCCCGGGTAAGACGGGTATCTGTCTGGCACTGAGGCCAGGACCTAAGGCTCCCGGCCTCCCCGCGGACTCGGCGAGGACCCGGAGCCTCGGGTGCCCCCGCTCCAGCTGTGCTGGGTGACTAAGGTGTCCGCTAGCTCGAGGGAGCGCTTCCTCCCTCCCGGCAGCGCCGAGGCAGGTCTCCCCGGGCAACTGCGAACGGCCACGGGGATGGCGTCAGTCATCAGGGAGGCAAAGGCAAGGGCTGGGGAGCGTTCCCGGGGGGGCCCCCGACCCCCGCGTCCAGCACCGCGGGCCGCACTCTGCGGACGCCCTGGGTCAGTCACCGCCCCTTCGCCCTGACGGAGGCCGCGACCGACTCGGGGCGCCGGGCCAGCCGCACGCGGCGGGTCACGGGTCACGTGCCGCGGGGCGGGTCCTGGCGCGCGCGGCCGGTGGCGGGAAGGGGCGGGGCCTCGGGCGGGGCCGCCGGGAGGGGAGGGCGGGGAGGCGTGCAGATGGCGGCGGCTGCTCAGGGGGGCGGGGGCGGGGAGCCCCGGGGAGCCGGCGGGGTGGGCCCGGGGGTCCCGGGGGAAGTGGAGGTGGTGAAGGGCCAGCCGTTCGACGTGGGCCCGCGCTACACGCAGCTGCAGTACATCGGCGAGGGAGCCTACGGCATGGTCAGGTGAGGGGCGCGGGGGGCGCCGGTGCGGTGAGGCCGGCCTGGAGCGCCCCGAAGAGCCCGGCGCTCCGAGTCCCGGACGGTCCCGGGAGCGGCCTTAGAGGCTTTGAACCATCCTGCCGCTCTGGACCGAGGCCGTCCGAGTGGACGTCGGGGGGCTGTGTGCGTCTCGGGGCCCAGAGACTGGGCGAAGCTAAGTGCTGCTGGAAGGGGAAGGACGGGCCCTTGGCGGGGTAGGATGCCTTGGATCCCCAATGGGGCTGTGCCGGGGAGTCGGAGAGGAGAGTGGAGCGCAGGGCGGGGCCCCGGGAAGATTGAGGGGCTCAGAGTGGCTCCCTGCATCTTTGGGGTCTGTGAGTTTTCGCTGTCTCCCCATGTGCCCTGGGCCTTTGTTCCTATAGCAACAGCTCTGTTGCCCAGGTAGCTCACCCTGAGACCCACCCTCCTTATCCCTTCTCGCTGTATTACCTCACCTCTGTGCGAGTTTACTCCTTCCTGTCCCCTGGACCTGTCTTGGGTTGAGGGACCCGATTTGGAGAAGGGAGGAGGGCAAGGGCGACTAGAGTGAAAGGGGGTCGAGGAGAAGGGAAGTCAGTGAGCGGACAGCCTCTTCCTCTGCTTGTAAAGTCACTAAAAGGCTGCCTGGCTGGCCTCCAGCTCTCCCTGGAGATCCCAGGCCTTCACAGCAGGAAGGAACCAGCATTGTTTATGACTTGGCCAGAGCCCTCCCCTGCTCCCTTTTCTCCCTGCCAAGCCCAGGGTGGGGCCACCAGGCCTGGATTCCCCCTTTGTAAGGCCAGCAACATCTCTCTGGCCCTCTCAGCTCAGCGTATGACCACGTGCTCAAGACTCGAGTGGCCATAAAGAAAATCAGCCCCTTCGAGCATCAGACCTACTGCCAGCGAACACTACGGGAGATCCAGATCTTGCTGCGCTTCCGCCACGAGAATGTCATAGGCATCCGAGATATTCTTCGGGCGCCTACCCTGGAAGCCATGAGAGATGTGTATCCTTCGCCTTGCCAGCTGGCTGGCCAGGCACAGCCTCATAGGTGGACCCAGGAATGTTGACCTTCTTTCTGTTTCCATCTTCCCTACCGCCCTCCTAAACAAACCTAGCAAAAGAAACTTTCCAGGAGAGGAGAGGCCCTGTGTGTGAGAGGCCTGGGAGGACAGATGGATCCTGGGTGTTGTAGCCAGGCAGGGTGGTCTTGGACAAGTCCTCCTCCTCTCTGTGCCCTAATGGGGGGCCAGGCAAGACGGTCTCAGTGGGAGCTTTGTCCTCTGACACCTGCAGTTCTGTGACAGGATCCAGCCTCTGCCCACAGTCAGGTCTTGCTTAACAGACTACTGACCCTTTCCTTGCTGGGTCTCCAGACGGGAAGGAAGGCAGGCAGGAAGAAAACTGCCTTCTCTTGTAGGCTTACTCTGTCAGGTACTGTGCATACCAAGTGCTTTGATGGTTCTTGTGCTCCCGTTGGGACAAATCCTAGAAAGTCTAAGCTCAGTGTCTCGGTGGCTGCCTCCTCCCCTCCCCCAGGCAGGACTTGTCCTTTCTCCAAGCTTCCTGCTTAGATCCGCACCCTCCTCACCTGTGGACTTGCACCTTGCCCGGAAGGGCAGCCCAGCCTTTGTTTCCCTCCCTGATATCGTTGCTGCCTAGCTCGTTTTCTGCTTCCTGCCTGAGTATGACACCCACCACCTCTTCATTACTCACCCCTGGCAGTCCCAGGCCTCCACCCAGAAGTGAGGATTTGTTCTGTGGTGTCTTCAGTCCCCACCACAGACTGAGGACACACAGTCACCACATTCACCTCAGCCTGCTGTGTGTCCTTAAACTACATCTCTGGGCCCCCATGTGTAAACAGCAAACTTCATCCAGATGTTCTCTGTAAAAGACGATCCTGCTTACTCTTCCAGAGACAAGCCATGTGGCATATTTCTATTTAATCTTTGTTTTATCTTCAAGTGTGAAAAGGACATTTACTCCTCCACCTCCTGGTGTGTGGCCAGGCACTCTTCTTTGAGTAGGAGCATGCTGTTGGGAGTATCTCCTCACTTTTCTGGCACAGAGCATTCCCATAAGGCAGGCATTTATTTTTAAGCAAACATTTATTGCATGCCAGATGGTATTCATACATTAGCTCACTTAACCCCCAACAGCCAGGTGGCTGAGGCCTTTGTATTAGGAATAGGAGTTCATGTTTGCTGAGCTCTCACAGCATGCCAAGCACTGGGCTGACTGCTCTGCGTAAGTCATCTCATCTGAACTTCACTGCCACCTTCTAAAAAACATGTACTTCCCCTGCCTGCCAGATGAGGAAACTGAGGCACAAGCAGGTTATGATCATAAAGCCAGTGAGTAGTAGAGTGGAGACTTTGGACATCAGTAGGTTAACTTCAAAGCTGCTGCTTTTTTTTTTTTTTTGGTACCGGGGATCAAACTCAGGACCTTACACTTGCGAGGCAGGCGGCAGAACCACTGAGCTAAATCCCCAGCAAAGCTGCTGCTCTTAACACTGCAGTTCTCTTGCTTCCCGAAGTGTATCAGTATCCTCATAGCCTTGGTAGGGAAACCGAGGCCTCAGACTGGAACCGCCTTGCTTGGGGTCACCAGCTGAGCTCTAAGCCTTGCCCATCTCATGAGTCCAAAGGGCCAAGGGCCCCTGCTGGAGGGAACTCAAGCCTGGTTGCCAGACCTTCCTTTCCTTAACCAAGTGCCTCCTGCTGTCCCCCCTACCCGGGGGGGTCTCTGGAGCCCTCCTCAGGTACATTGTGCAGGACCTGATGGAGACAGACCTGTACAAGTTGCTCAAAAGCCAGCAGCTGAGCAATGACCATATCTGCTACTTCCTCTACCAGATCCTTCGGGGCCTCAAGTATATCCACTCAGCCAATGTACTCCACCGGGATCTAAAGCCCTCCAACCTGCTCATCAACACCACCTGCGACCTTAAGGTCAGAAGGCTGGGTGGCTGCCCTGCCCCTCCTGGGCCTAGGGCTGCCAGGTGTCCAGCAGAAGCCTTGGAGCACAGCAGCCAGGGGAGCAGCCTAGCAGCAGTGTGGCAGTGTGGCCACAGGCTGTGGAGGCCTTGTGCGAAAGCTTAGCAGCCTGGCTTTCATTCCAGATCTGTGATTTCGGCCTGGCCCGGATTGCTGATCCTGAGCATGACCACACTGGCTTTCTGACCGAATATGTGGCCACACGCTGGTACCGGGCTCCGGAGATCATGCTTAACTCCAAGGTAGGAGAACTTGCTACCCTCAGGAGATGGAGCCCTCTGCCCAGGCGTTGGCCTCTGACACAGGACCTCTGCTTCTGGTCCTTGGGCTCTGAAGGAAGGCAGAACGTTGGTTCTTCCAGACTTCTGTGCTCTGTGTTCTGCCTGGTGCTGAGGCCAGTCCAAGAGTCCACCGTCTCCCTCTTCCCCAGGGCTATACCAAATCCATTGACATCTGGTCTGTGGGCTGCATTCTGGCTGAGATGCTCTCCAACCGACCCATCTTCCCCGGCAAGCACTACCTGGACCAGCTCAACCACATTCTGGGTGAGGAGGCCTGGCTGTCTGAAGGGGAAAGGGACAAATCTGTGGGAAGTGAGATTCCTCTAGGGTCAAGCTAAGGTGGCACCATGTGCGGAGCCCCTGCAGCACCTCATATTATTTCGGTGAGGTGTGTATCCCAGTTTGATAGATGGGAAAGCAAAGCTAAGTCCCATACCTAATGAAGTGCTAGAGCCAGGATTTGAACCTAGGGCTGCCTGAGTTCTGGCCTGTTCCTCTTTACTATACTCTTATCTGGGAGGTAAGGGGGGAGTCGGGGCAGTGGCTGGGCTGGCTCTGCTTTTCTTGCCTCTTCCCCTGTTCTGTTCTCAGGCCAAGGTGACTTCTCACCAAGTCACTCATCTAACCCACAGGTATCCTGGGCTCCCCATCCCAGGAGGACCTGAATTGTATCATTAACACGAAGGCCCGGAACTACCTACAGTCTCTGCCCTCTAAGACCAAGGTGGCCTGGGCCAAGCTTTTTCCCAAGTCAGACTCCAAAGGTGAGAGAGACTTGGGGCGGGGGTGGCTGCACCCTGGGTGTGCAGAGGCTGTGTGGTGCCCTGCTGCCTTCTAGGCAGGCCCTGGGCACAGGACGGAATAATGCTGCTGGAGCTCCCGCCTTCCTTTGATCCTGCCTCCTACCCTTCCTTAGCTCTTGACCTCCTGGACAGGATGTTAACCTTCAACCCCAATAAGCGGATCACAGTGGAGGAGGCCCTGGCTCACCCCTACCTGGAGCAGTACTATGACCCCACAGATGAGGTGGGCCAGCCATCAGCAGCAGGGCAGGTGGGGGAATGGGCACCCCCGACACCTGGCCAGGCCTCACTGTCTTTGCCACTCCAGCCAGTGGCTGAGGAGCCCTTCACTTTCGACATGGAGCTGGATGATCTGCCCAAGGAGCGGCTGAAGGAGCTTATCTTCCAAGAGACAGCCCGCTTTCAGCCAGGGGCGCAAGACGTCCCCTAACCAGGACAGACGTCCCTGCTTCCTGGGGCCTGGTGAGTAGCCCTGGTAACAGGGTGTCCAGCATACTGCAGCCTTAGTGCAGTCACAGGTTTGTCTCGCACCCATGATCAGTGTGTGATAACAGCAAAGCCGTGGCCCTCATAGCCCCTCACGCCCCTGCCCATCCTCCAACCCCTGCCTCTCACTCGCCAGCTCCTGGCACCCCCCACCAGCCATCACTGCAGACCCCAGAGGTCAGTGTGGGCCTCTCTCCCCGCTCTGAGGGACGCAGCGGGCTCTGGCTGTCCCGTGTGGGCACAGCCAGGGGAGCCCCTTACTGTCTTGGAAGGAGCCCTGCAGCACCCACTCACCCAGGTGCCAGGCTCCCACCCATTGCCCAGGCCAGCTGCCGACGTACCTGCACTCCCAGGGCTGCCTCCAGCCGTGCTGCACTCCTTCCTCCCCCACCTCTTCCTGTCTTTGGCCAGCTGTGGTCTGATACACAAGGCAGACATACCTGGGTACAAGATCCAAGCTCTGCCACTCAGGCTTCATGGTGCTGTGCAGGGCCCCACACCTCCCTGTGTCTCAGTTTCCAGAGACCATTCTGTAAGGAGGGCAGGCACTGACAGAGTCCTAGGCAGTGTTGCAGGTCCCCACATAGTGACCAGCTTAACCCCCACAGTGGTACCTGTTAGCCCGTTTGCAGACGAGGAGACAGGGTGAACTGAGCACTGTGGTACTCTTTTCGGGGCACTAACAGTTCCTTCCTGCCTATTTCTTCCTTTAGGCCTGGCTCCTGTCTGCCTCCCCTGCTGGACTGTTAGGAAGTGGATGCTGTGTGCAGACCTGGCCAGGGCTGAGGGTGGGCCTGGCTCTTTCTCCCACTTTGCGGGGGACTCCTTTGCCGGGCAGGCCAGGCTCCCTCCTCCCTACCCGGCCTGAGGCCTGAGGGGCTCAGGTGGCCCACAGCAAATCTCTCTGCTGCTCTGCCTTCATCTCCCCAGCTGGCCCATCTCTGGCAGACCTTTCTGGAATGGAAGGGCTCTGGCTGCCACAGGACCTACCCCGGGCGCTCAGAGTCTGAGTAGGGACTCTGGGCAAGCCCTGCCCCTCTCACCCCATTGAAACCCCACCCCACTTTCCTGGAAGGAACATTCCTAAGTCTCAAGGGCTAGTCTCCCTGAGGAGCCGGTCCTGGCCGAAGTCCCCCAGCCGCCACATTTAACACCCTCGCTGCTTCTGTGTGTGGGTGAGTGGAGGTGCAGTGGGGCCCGAGGTGAGCACAGTGCCCTTGCCCCCTTCCCATGCCTGTATCTAATATATAAATATAGAGACGTGTATTCGGATGCCTCTGGCTCTGTGTGTGCGTGCGATGCGACCCTGGAGTGCTGCTTGAGGCGGGGCCTCTGTAGCCAGCTGCTCCCAGCTGGGGCCTCACCTGGCCCAGTGACCTTCTGCCCTAGCTGGGCAGTGCTGAGGATGGGGTTAGGGGCTCCAGCTCCTGGAAGGAGCGGGGTCAGTTTTCCTCTCAGGCACTGTGTCCTCTCCTCTAATGACTTCTTGTTTGGCTGTGTGGGGTGATTCAGGGGTGACTCAGGGGTGACCTGCATACCCCCAGATTCCATGGGAATAGCATGGGGTGGTGTGCTGTGTGCCCTGGCCGCAGCCCCCATGGGAAGGGGGAAGATCCAGTGGGGAGGGCATTTCATCCCCCACCGTGTGGCCACGGGGCGCTGGGTCTCTAAAAGTTCGGGGAACAGGAGGGTCAGGGCTGCCTGCCTCGATTCCTGCCTCTGCCCCAGCCAAGTCTGCAGCCTGGCCATAGGCCAGCAGCACAGCAGCAGGCTCAGCAAGTCCCAGGGGTGTGGCACAGCCGTGGTGGAGCCAGCCTACACCGGCTGGGCCGGGCCATCGCCAGCAGCAAGGCTGCGCAGTCTTCGGACACTGCGCTGGCGCACAGGAGCCTGGATAGGGAGGGCGTTCAGCCATGAGTCCCCTGCTCTACTATGCCCTGCCTGCCCTGGGCAGCTACATAGCGCTCTCCATCTTCTTCCTGCGCCGGCCCCGCCTGCTGCATGCACCCTGTACTCCAGCCTTCTGTCCCCGCCTGGTAGCCCACCGGGGAGGTAAGCTGGGCAGAGAAGAAGGGACAGTGGCAGCCATTCAGGGTGGAGGGAGGCCACAGTGGGCAGCACTGAGGGCAGCGCCCAGGCGGAATGCTAGACACAAGGCAAAGGCTGGGTAGAGGAGAGCCAGGCAGGCAGGGCAGGCAGGGCAGGAGTGGGAAGGAGAGGCCGCTGGACCTGGGTTACCGGAAGGTGAGGGCCGAGGCCCAGGGAGGCCAGTGGGAGGGAGGGTGGGGGATAAGCGACCTGCCCACTGCCCCACACAGGGTCTGGAGAGCGGCTGGAGAACACCATGGAGGCCGTAGAGAAGTGAGTGTGCCCGCCCTGCCACATTGCCATGTAAGGTTGTGCCAGTTGTGCACGCAGACACCCAGGGGTGCCATTCTCTTCCCAACCTGGGTGTCTAGAGCGCCCAGAGGTGTGCAGGTAAGCCTGCACCTCCCACCATGACTGTCCTGTAGTGCCCCTCACCTCGTCTGGCCCGTCCCTGTCCCCAGCCCCAGCTGACCTTTGTTCCCATAGCTCCATGGCTCAGGGAGCTGAGCTCCTGGAACTTGACTGCCAGCTGACCCGGGACGGCGTGGTGGTGGTGTCCCATGATGAGAACCTGTCCCGCCAGTCAGGCCTGAACAGGGACGTGAGCAGCCTGGCCTTCGAGGTGGGCCTTCCCTCCATGCCCCTGCTGCCCAGAGCTGCCATGCCTTCCCGAGTGCCTGCTGCTGACACACTCCACTTCACTCCCAGGAGCTGCCCTTGTACAAGGAGGAGCTGGAGGTTTACTTCTCACCAGGTAAGAGAGGCACTGCAAGCCTGTGCCAAGCTGGGGCACCCTTCGGCTCCCACCCCACCCACCCTCTGACCCTCACCTCCCTGGGCCCTGCTCCCAGGCCACTTTGCCCACGGCTCAGACCGGCACATGCTTCGCCTGGAGGACCTGTTCCAGAGGTTCCCCCAGATGCCCATGAGCGTGGAGGTGAAGGCAGACAACGAGGAGCTCATTCACAAGGTGGCGGGTGCTGCAGGCGGGGCGGGCACTGCAGGCAGCCTGGAGGCCCGACTCCTAGCCTCCCTGTCGCCTCTCAGATAGCAGGCCTGGTGAGGCAGTTTGGTCGCAGCAGGATCACCATCTGGGCCTCGGAGAAGAGCTCGGTCATGAAGAAGTGCCAGGCAGCCGTGAGTCCATCCCCCTGGGCCCGGAGCTGGATGAGCTCCAGGCGCGGTGCTGGTGGTGAGGAGGCGTGACTTCGGCCTGTCGGCATGGGTCTCCTGAGATTCTGCCATGCTTCTTGCAGCCAGTGCCGCCCCTCAGGAGACGACCCCCTCCTCACTTCTCCCTTTGTCTCCCCAGAACCCGGAGATGCCACTGTCCTTCACAATATGCCGATCATTCTGGGTGCTGCTGCTCTATTACCTGGGGCTGCTGCCCTTCGTCCCCATCCCCGAGAAGTTTTTCTTGTGCTTCCTGCCCACCATCATCAACAGGTACCAGTGGTGCGGTCGCGTCTCAGAGACACAGCCCCACACAAGCCACATTGCTCAGGTCTACTTTGCAGGAGGACAGCTTGGGGACACGTCAGAGAGAACTCCAAGGTCCTTTGAAGACAGTGCTTCCATCCAGCATTCATGAACCCTAACAGGGCTGTGACTCCCTGAAATAATAATTATTGAACTCACTGTGTAGCCCAGGCTGGCCTCAAACTCCTGCCTCAGCCTCCTGAGTGCTGGGACTACAGGTGTGCACCACCGTGCCAGCTAAACCCTGAAATTATGTGCAAGTGTGTATTGATGTGTAGTTTTCGGAGAAAGGACTCATTCATTCATCCACATTCTTTGAAAATATTGACGGAAGTCCTTCTCTGGTCCAGCTGCAGTTACATTAGTAAATATGACCCATGTGAGTAGGTCAGGCCCTCCCTTCCCAAGTGTACAGTCTGGCTCAGTCATTACAGCTGACTCCCTGATCTTCACAGGGAAAAGCTAGCTCCCTTAGACTGGATACGTGGACAAACAAAGTAACAGATGGTCAGAGTATCTGGGATTGGGATACTTTGCCAGCCCTCAGCCCAGGGCCCTGGCTGCAGTTGCTATCTGACAACTTCTCTGGGGTAGTCCCCGCTACTTTCTTTGTCCCCAAGGCAATGATGCTAAACCTGTGGCAGGCACACCATCAGAGGCTGTTTGTTATCACTAAAAGCTCTAAAAGGTTTGCCAGCACAATCCCAAGGGACAGTCTCAGCCAGCCCCACAATCCCTTGCTACAAAGCTTTGTGTATGTGCCTTTCCCTCAGTACTGGGGATTGAACCCAGGGGCTACCACTGACCTATATCCTCAGCCCTTTTTATTTATTTTTATTTCGAGACAGGGTCTCACTAAGTTGCCCAGATGAGACCCCAGCTGGTGATCCTGCCTCAAGTGTATATGTGACAGTTTATATAGGATTTACAATGTTTTCACATCTTTTGAAGTGTTTGACCTTTAATTTTCAGTGTCAGTGTCCCCAGGAGATACAGGAATCCTGATCCCCGTTGTATCCATGGAGAATCAGAGCCACAGAGAGGTTCTGTCATTTGTCCAAAGTCACACAGCTGAAGTACAGAGCCCAGGTTTGCCCTAGCTCTGACTCCAGCACCTGCCCTGGAACACTGTGAGGTGCCTCTGAAGCGCCCCCTGGAGCGGAGTAATTAGGGACAAGCAAACAGCACATTAAGTGCTGTCTGGGCTTAAGCAGCTGGCCAGGCCACCCCAATGACCTCGAGATGGGTTGCTCAGCTTCAGAATCAAGCTCGGCCCCACCCCCCGCACCAATCTGCCCTGTACCCCCAGCAAGTCCCCTTGGCTCCCTTAGACTCAGTTTCCTTGTCAGTAAGATGGAGAGAGGGTCCATCCTCACCATGGGTTCCAGGGTGTCAGAGTAGGTGCCACTGAATGATGGGCAAGTTACTCCCTTGGTCAGGCCACTACCACCCTAACCCCTGCCTTCTCGACACAGGACCTACTTCCCACTTTCCTGCTCTGGACTGAACTGGCTGGCGGCCATGGTTACAAAATGGTGAGGCGGGGAGAAGGCCAGTGGGCTGCCCCACAGGGACCTGCCGCTGCCCTTCTTTGTCCTGGCTCATTCTCACTGTTACCTCCTCCTCCCCTGCGTCCCAGGGCCATCATGAGGAAAAGTCTGATCCAACACTTAGAGGAGCGAGGCGTGCAGGTGAGGCCTGACCACCACCCTGGCAAGAAGGAAGCCCCCGTCGGGGCCTGGCAGCAGGGCGCAGTCACTGTACTGCAGGCTCGTGGTTCCCTGGCCAGGTCACCTCAGCTTCCCAGTCTCAATTTCTCCCCCGGGTTCACATACTGCTCTGGATTGCAGCTGGTGCTTAGTGAGGGCTTGGTAAATGTTGAGCCCACTGGCTCAGCCCCTGGGGGAGCCCAGGCACGGTGACCCACCCTCCTGTCCTGAGCAGGCTATGATCAGGTCATTTAATTAGCAAATGTAGAGGAAGTTCAAGCACTACGGTGTCCTCACCACCAAGGGCAGACGAAGGAAATGAAGTGGCCCATGGCTTGCTCACGTGGCTGTGGGGTCTGGGAGAAGTGAGGTGGGAGCAGCAAGAAGGGGCTCTGCCGGTGAGAGGCACTGGCCGAGTTTCCAGGCTGCAGCCTGGAGTAAGCAGCCGAGGCCGAGGCAGGCAGGCCCACTGACCTCAGAAGAGAATGTGGACATCAGCCCACGGAGGAGGGAAGCCTGGAGGGCTGGAAGGGGAGAGCTGATCCCAGCGAGGTGTGCTGAGTGCGGAAGAGGTGGGATCAGTGTGAGTGCTGGGTGTCATTAGGCGTCGGCAGTGGGGATGGGGGAAGGGAGAGACCAGGACTTGCCCGCTGACCAGATGTTGGGGTGAGGGGGCCACTGGGATGACAAGCTGTCCCTGATCACCCGCTGGATCTTTGTGCCTTGTGAGGTTGGGCCATCACACTCAGTTGCCACACTGCGAACAAGAGAGGCACAGGGATTTGCATTTCCACCTGCCTTTGTGCCTGAGAAGAGGAAGGCAGGGCAGGCCCAGAACCGTGAAGAGCCGGCAGGCTGGGCACACGTTGCCCACGTGGTGCTGGGAAATGGTCGACAGCCCACTGCTGGGAGGAAAAGTCAAAGCCCTCATTTGAGCATTACTTTCCCTGGCTTTTCTACTCCCACCCCGGTCAGTTTCAGGCTGCCAGTGTGAAGTCACTAGACGCAGAATTGGAAAGAGATGTGCGGTAGCACATCATTATACAGTAGTCCCACCTAGAGAGTCAGCAGACACAAATAACCTGGAGAACGTAGAAAATAATAAAAGGTAGTAAAATAATCAGGAAGTGTAAGTTTTGAGTATTTCCCTTTTTAATATAGTTTCTCTAAGCTATTTTTAAAAAAATGTATTAGTATGGAGGGAGGGCTGAGCCAGGGCCTTTGCACTGAGCTACATCCCTACCCCTGTGTTTTGTTTTGAGACAAGGTCTTAGTCACTGAGCTGCCCAGGCTGAGTTTCAGCTGTGGCCCTCTTGCCTCAGCCTCCCTGAATGCTGGAAGTACAGGCCTAGGCCACCACGCCCAGCTCAAGTTAATTTTGAATAATGGCTGTGAAATAACCAGTTTGCAAAATTCCTGAAAAGTCAATAATAGGTTCCAGTGTATTGCTGCTGGGAGGTCTCCACAGAGGAGAAAGAGAGAGCGCCCAGCAAGTGGGTGTGAGGGGAACTTCGAAGTAAAGCGATTTGGAAACTAACTAGCTCCTCTCCCTGGTCAGGTGATATTCTGGTGCCTTAATGGAGAGTCAGATTTTGAAGAGGCCTTCAGCCTGGGGGCCACTGGAGTCATGACGGATTACCCCACCGCCCTGAGGAAGTACCTGGATACCCACAGACTAGTGAGCCGGGCCTCCTAAGTCTGAGGCCTCCTCTGTGTTCCTTCCTGAAGAATAAATATTGTCTCTTCAGCCACAGAGTTGTGTCGGAGTGAGGGTGGATCTGGAGGGCCGAAGACGGCAGCTTGGGCAGATGAGGCCAGCCTGGGCCCACCTGTTCCACCACGTTCCAGACCGAGTCACACCCTGGGCCAGCTTGGCCTCTGGTCCTCAGGAATGTCCCTTGCAGAGCCAACCCAGGTGTCCCGGGGCCCAACCCCGAGAGCCACAAATGCTTGCTCCATTTTCCAGAGGCCATGTGGCAAGAGCTTGACTTGCCCATGTCTTGACCTGGGCCGCCTCCCGGGCTCCCGAGGGTGGGCGTGAGCTCCCTGCCTGCCCTACTTCCCACCCAGTCTCCAGCCCCGAAACCTTCCTTAGGGACTTCCTGTGGCACGAGTATATACTGAGCGCCTACTCAAGGCCACGCCAGGTGCCAGGACCTCCCTAGTGAGCTGGAAAAGACACTGACAGACCCGTGTTGAAGCAGACGTCGTCACCCCATCCCAAGCCCGTTCTGGGGGTCGGGGGATCGGCGAAGGCTCCCGGAGGAGGTGATGCTCAGCAGCAGAAACGCTCCTCGGAGGGTGGTTCCCAGGAGCCTGACCCAGCGGGCACCTTTACCTCCTGCTGAGAGGTGAACTAACTGTTCCTGGTGCCATGGCAAAGACCGCGGAGTAGGGAAATGAGACTTCCAACTTCCAGCTAGATAATCTCGGGAGAGAGGCCCGACCTCTCCGGCCTCAGTCCCCGCTAAAACGGAGACAACGGCAGAAACTGCCTCGCGGGACTGCTGCAGGGACTCAGCGCGCGCGCGATGGGTGAGGGCAGGTCGCTACGCCTGTGCCCTCCGAGGGTGTGCATCCCGACACCGTCCTCCTCCTCTACCCGCGGGTCCGCCCGAGCGCCGCAGCAGGCCGAAGGGACGGGGAGGCTGGGCAGCCGCATTTCCGGGCCGGACGCAGCGGGCGGCGGGGGATGGGCAGCCCGGCCCTACGCGGGCCGCCGGGTGACGCGCCCCCTCATTTGCATGCCGCGCGCCGATTGGCCCCGGCGGCCGCCGGGACGGGAGCCGGACCCCTCCCCCTCCCCCTCCCGCCGCAGCCGCGGCGCAGCTGGTCTCGGTGTAAACAAGTCGAGGCGGCTGCGAACCGGCCGGGGAGGGGGGACGGCGCCCACCAGGAGCGCCCCCCACTCCCGGACCAGGCCACCCCGCGGACCGGGCCCCCGCGAGCCCAGGCGAGGTGAGGCCCGAGCCCCCATCCCGCCAGCGAGGACCTCCCCTTTCCCCCGCGCCCCAGGTGAGCCCCGGGGTCTCAGGTAAGGCTCCGCGATGCAGGTAAGAGTCCCTGGGCGGAGGGGAGGCCCCGCGCCCCAGGTAAGAGCACCTCCCTCCCAGGCGCCCCTCCGCCTCCAGCGAGGCCTCTTGCCTCCTCCGGGGAAGGGCCCTCTCCCCAGGTGAACCCCGTATACCTGGAAGTGGCCTCACTCAGTCCAGATGAAGCCCTAAGGACAGCAGTTCCTAAGCCCACATGCTCCCCCTGAACTGGGAACTGACTGCCCACCCACAGTAAAGCCCCTTCCTCCAGCTCCAGAAGCCAGGTCAGCAGGGGTGAGGCCTGAAGCAGGTGGGTGACTCACCTTGAGCTCCTCTCAGCCTCAGTTTCCCTGCTGATGCAACCTGAGGCCTCATCTCTGAGTCAGAACTGAGCTGGTCCCTAGTGAGGCTGCTGGCTCTGGGGAAAGGAGAGAGCAGCCAAGTGTGACAGAGTGTCCTCACGGTGCTGGGCGTGCCTGCATGTGTGTGGCCGGGGTCCTCCTGACGGCCCATCTACTCCCTCCCCGGCAGGCACTGGGCTCCCTCTGCTCCCCGTGGGCTGCTCCCCGCGTGGGGCCACTGCCCCTGGCCCCCGCCATGGTGCGGATTTCAAAGCCCAAGACGTTTCAGGCCTACTTGGATGATTGTCACCGAAGGTACAGCTGTGCCCACTGCCGCGCTCACCTGGCCAACCACGACGACCTCATCTCCAAGGTAACCAGCCCACCCTTGAGCTGGAGTGGGAGGCCAGAGGGGCTGCCTCGAAGCTCCACACCGGTAGCCCTGACCACCCCGCCCTCTCCACCCCTACCTTTCAGTCTTTCCAGGGCAGTCAGGGCCGTGCCTACCTCTTCAACTCTGTGTGAGTATTTGGCCTCCCTCCTTTCTTTCCCGGCCCTCTCTTGTGATCTGCCGTCATGCTGAGACTCCCAGAGTTCCCTGGCTCAGGCTGGAAGCCATGTTCACCCCTCTCTTGGATGCTAAGGACAGGCACAAGCTTGAGGGGGGTCTGTGATGGCAGGACCCTCCCTGGGACTGCCCTATGTCCCTGTAGGGTGAACGTGGGCTGCGGGCCAGCCGAGGAGCGAGTGCTGCTGACTGGCCTTCATGCTGTCGCTGACATCCACTGCGAGAACTGCAAGACCACTTTGGGCTGGAAATATGTGAGTCAGCCCTCTCTGACCCCAGTCTCACCTGGGACCTGACCTTGCATTACCCCTCCTCACATTGGTCACCCAGTGACCTTCAGACCACACAGGCCCCACACAGACAAGTCCCACTGTCTTCACCCCGACCGTGTTCGGCTCTCCCAGATCCCACAAAGCCTTCTAGAATTTTTCTCTTAACCATCCCTTCCCTCAATGGCACTAGCATCCCTGTTTTAGAGATGAAGATATATGCAGAGTCACCATTTAGTGAATACTTACATGCTGTACAGTTATGTGCTTGGCATACATTCTCATTCAATCCTTACCGCAGTCCTATAGGTAGACTCTATTCCATCTGTTTTACAGAAGAAAAAAGCTGTTAGGCAACTTGCCTGAGATCACACAACTGGTAATAGAATAGGGACCAGAGTCTTAGTTGGCTGGTTTGCTTTTGACTGCAGCCATTGGCCACCAGCTTGTCATTCAGAGGATCAGAGAAGTTCCCCAAGTCCCCACAGCAACATGGGACTGGGGTCCCACAGGCCTCCTCTTCTATTTCTCTTTTTGCTACTGCTGCTGTCCAGGATCTGATTTCATTACTCTGAGTCAAATGTCTTAATCTGACATTGGAGAATAAAACCACCACTTGGCTCCCAAGATTGTTGCAAGGATCAGTTTAGATGTTCTTGGGACTCTGCAAGGGACAGGATTGGCTGTCTTGCTTGGAGTGCCTCCCCGCTTGAGGTGGATGCCAGAGGCAGACAGCCAGCCCTGACCTGAGTTCACCTCCGGCCCTGCCACAGATTTGCTGTGTCTCTGGATAGGTGGTATGGCTTCTCTGAGCCACTGTGAAATAAAGAGGTGGCTCATGAGGTTAAAAACCCAAGTGCCGGGCTGGGGATTTAGCTCAGTGGCACTGCACCTGGCTTGCAAGCTCAAGGTCCTGAGTTTGATCACCAGTACCAAAAAAAATTAAAAAGAGAGAGGGAGAGAGAAATAAAAACTCAAGTGCCTGCAAAGCTAAGCAGATATTGTGAATTTGTAGAAGTGGTGGCATAGATTACGGAGTGGGGAGAGCAGGCCAAGGGAAACAGGAGTGAGCCTACATGCCCATGGTGTAGTATTTTGGATGTTTTGTTTTTATTTTTGTTTTGTGGTGCTGGGCCTGAACCCAGGGCCTCATGCATGCTAGGCAAGTGCTCTGCAGATGATCAACCTCAGTCCCTAAAGATTTGGGGGGGTTTTTTTGGTACTGGAGATCGAACTCAGGACCTTGCACTTTCAAGGCAGGTGCAGTGCCACTGAGCTCATCCCCAGCCCCTAAAGTTATTTTTATTAAACTCTCTGCTGTCTAAACAAAACCATGTGGAGGCTGAAATGGCCCTCAGGCCACCGATGTGTGATCCCTGGGCTGAAATCTTTTAGGCATTTCCATATCCTCTCTGTTGGATCTGTCATTAATGTTTAAAAAGCACGGGTGAACTGGGCATGGTGGCGCACACTTGTGATCCCAGCACTCAGGAGGCTGAGGCAGGAGGATCGACATGAGTTCGAGTACAGCCTGGCTTACAAAGTGAGGCCCTGTCTCATTAAAACAAAACAAAACAAATAAGGTGATGCACAGTTCTTTCCACTCCCTGTTAGTGAGAAGCACAGCGTTGCTATTTACCAGCTCTGTGTCTGTGGGCAGGTAGTTTGGTTTCTCTGGGCCACCATTACCTCATATGTAAAATGAGGCCAGTCATATTCTCTCCCCAAGCATTAGGCCTTTGAGGTAAATGCCCAGGGATGACAGACCCTCCCTTCTTTCAGGAGCAGGCTTTTGAGAGCAGCCAGAAGTACAAAGAGGGGAAGTACATCATTGAACTCAACCACATGATTAAAGACAACGGCTGGGACTGACTCCTGCGCCTGACGCTTGTGGCTCCAGCCTGGCCTGGCCGCCAGGGGGCGCCACTGGCTTCCCTCCGACTGAAGGGAGCTCTGAACCCCTCGGGGCCCCTGCAGAGGAAGGATCCGGCACCTGTACATATATTTTATTGCATGCACTGTGACCTTGGGGGGCGATCAAAAGGAGGACGACACCCCCGCACCTCCCTGCGATCTGGCTGGCTTGGATCTCATTTTTAAACCTCTCCTGCCCCCCCCCGCCCCGCCCCAAAGATATGGCCTGTGTGCTGCTTTTTCGGCCCTAGTACACCGTCTGCCCTGTGCACTCTCCTCCCGCCCGACCCCTCTTACCCTGAGCGTGTCTGTTCCCTTGTTCTGTAGCGTTTGTACGTAATAAAACAATGGAGTGCAGACAGCCCCAGGCTCGCATAGAATCCGGAGAAGGGAACTCCATCTAGACTCCTGCCCCCTATATATAGATCTGTTCTGTTCTAAGCGTCAGCGGGACATCGGGTAGGCACTGCCTGTGCAGGTCTTGGTGCCCACCCTGGCCCCTAGGCCTTGACCTCAGCTCATCTGCCTTTCCCTGGCTTGAGTGCTTGGCCGCCGCCTAGGGGCAGCTCTGGAGGAAGGCCTCCCGATTCGCCGACTACAACTCCTAGCGGCCCTCGCGCGGTCTGTTGGTCTCCCTTACGCGCCTCGGCGCGAGGCGTGCTGGGAAATGTAGTTCCGAGGATTCCCGGCGCCGGTCTTGGGGAACCCTGCGGGAGACATAGACGACGGTTGTGTTGGGTGCGCCTCGCAACTTTTGAGGCTTAGTAGAAGGTGCAGGTTTTTTCAGAATGGGAACCAAGGAGGATGCCAACTTTCAGTCCTCTGTTGCGGACTCCTCGATCTCCCCAGTGTCCGGAGTAATAAGCTCAGGCCGCGTTCTGTTCTTCCAACCTTGCCCTTCCCTTCGGTTATGAATCTTTCCTCCGAGACCAGTTCTCCAAGTGAAGAAGACCTGCCAGAAAGTCTGGAACGCTAGGGTCAACCCCAGGACCCTAACCTCGGTCCCCGGGCCCAGGCCATGCCCTTGTAGCTTATCCCTAGCAGCCCCCCCCCCCCCCCGCCGCGGGAACGGTGACCAGCTGGCCGGAAGCGCCAAACTGCGTCCCTGTCCGAGCCCTGGGGATCAATCAGGCCGAGGAGTTAATTATGTAATGAGGGGGCAGGGGGTCGGGGCTAATGAAGTCTCCCAAGGAGGAGGGGGAGGGTACCCAGGTATCCGGCCCCCTCTTGGATCCCTTCGAGGCCCCAGGGGTCTTCACTCCAGTCCACCTTCAGGGCCCCAAAGAGGGGAGGGGCTGTGATCCCGGGTCTGCAAGGGGCTGAGCTGTGGCTATAAAGGGGCGTCTCTCAGCATGCGGGGACTCCAGGCAGTGTGACCTGGGAGGCCAGCGAGACTACAACATGTACCATCCTCGAGAGTTGTACCCCTCCCTGGGGACCAGCTACCGTCTGGGGCCCCCGCAGACTGGGACCGACTCCAGCTTCCCTACTGCCCTGGCAGAGGGCTACCGCTATCCGGGTGAGCTGTGGGACCAGCTCCTGTCCAGGGGGACTGGGGGGAGACCCTGGGCTGCCTCCTCATTCTTCTCACATCTCCAGATCTAGACCCCCCCAAACTGGACTGCTACCTCTCTGGGATTGAAGCTGCACCACGCTCATTGGCTGCACCCCCACCTCTGCCCCTCCTGCCCCCCACCCTGGGCACCGAGCCAGCCCTGCCAGCTGCAGAGGCCCTTCACTCGCTCCCTGGGGTCAGCTTGAGCCTGGAGAACCAGGAGCTGTGGAAGGAGTTCAGCGCTGTGGGGACAGAGATGATCATCACCAAAGCTGGCAGGTGAGGGCTGGCCAGGCCAGTCTGTCCCGAGCCTCAGGGAGGGCAAAGTTCCTGGGATGCAATAGGTTCGGGGGTTTCTCTGGGACTAGAGCTCTGCCAAAGTTTGGGCACCATTGCCTAGGAGACCAGTGACTGAATGGAAGCAGGAGACCTTCTGTGGCAAGGGTCAAGGGTCAAGGGTCAGTCTGTGGAGTCTGTAACTGGGTTTAGGGCCACAGGTCAATGTACACCAGGGTCAGGAAGTCTGACTAGGTTATAGTTAGTCGATGGCCGAGGTTGGGGTCAGCCTGTGGCTGGAATCTGGGTTCAGACTGACGGGCAAAGGTCCAGGCAGTGACCAGAATCAAGGAAATCTGGCCAGGCCCAGAGGCTAGTGTGGGACTTGGATAGGAATCAGGGCCTAGGTCCGGGCTCACCGAGTGGCAAGGCAGTGGTCAGTGTGTGGCCTGTAGCAAGCCAGAGCTCAGGCCCTACACAGTAAATTATCTGCCCCACTGAAGGCAGGGCCTTGGTGGGGGGGGGGCAGTACTGCGGATTGAACCCACGGCTGCTCTACCACTGAACTATATCCCCAGCCATACACATCATCATCATCATCATCATCATCATCATCATCATCATCATCATCATCATCGTTACAGGGTCTTGCTAAATTGCCCAGATGGGACTTGAACTTGTGATCCTCCTGCTTCAGCCTCTGTCCATACTGGGATTACAGGCATCCCAGCTCAGGACCTATTTTTTCTGAAGCAAATTTGTTTAGCAGCTGCAGAGATCAAGTGAGGGGGCCAGGATAGGGTACAAGATTTCAGGGAGGAAAGTTAGTCACCACTTTTCTTTGCAACTAGCTGGGGAGGCTGGGCTCTTCTCCTAGCCTGCTGTGTGACCCCAGTCAGATCCCCCAACCAGCCTGTTCTGTTTCTCCATCTGAAGCCCTGCAGCTCTAAGCTTCTGCCTGTGGGGTCTAATTTCGGCTTCCTGGTGTTTCCCTGGCTGAACTGTCTCCAGCCCCCTGGCTGGTGCTGCGCCTACCAAGTTCTGGCCTCTCCCCTCCCTCTCTCCCCTGTGCAGACGCATGTTCCCTGGTTGCCGGGTGTCAGTTACTGGCCTGGATCCCGAGGCCCGCTACCTGTTTCTTCTGGATGTGGTGCCGGTAGACGGGGCTCGGTACCGCTGGCAGGGCAGGCGCTGGGAGCCCAGCGGCAAGGCAGAGCCCCGCCTGCCTGACCGCGTCTACATTCACCCCGACTCTCCGGCCACCGGCGCCCACTGGATGCGGCAGCCCGTGTCCTTCCATCGCGTCAAGCTCACCAACAGCACGCTGGACCCCCACGGCCATGTGAGGCCCAGCTGGGAGCCCAGGAGAGGTTGGGGTGGGGCTGGGAGGAGGCAAAGGCAGAGGCCCAGGGCCGGGAATCACCCCCAGTTCTTCCCTCCCAGCTGATCTTGCACTCCATGCACAAGTACCAGCCCCGCATACACCTGGTGCGGGCCGCCCAACTCTGCAGCCAGCACTGGGGGGGCGTGGCCTCCTTCCGCTTCCCGGAGACCACATTCATCTCTGTGACAGCCTACCAGAACCCGCGGGTGAGTGATTGCTCTGGAGGGGTGCAGGGCCCTGCCAGGCTACGGCCGCCTTGACCTGGTTGTGTGCCCCCAGATCACACAACTGAAGATTGCAGCCAATCCCTTTGCTAAAGGCTTCCGGGAGAATGGCAGAAACTGTAAGAGGTGGGCATCTTTATTCGTGCACTCATTCATTCAACAGATATTTGCTAATTGGTCCCTACGTGCCAGCCACTGTGCTGGGTACCAGGAACATGATGGTCTGTGAGGGCATTTATTTATTCATTCATTGATTCAACAAATGCTTACTGGGGTTGGGGATGTAGCTCAGAGGCACCAGGCCTGCCTCGAAAGCGCAAGGTTCTGAGTTCGATCCCCGGTACCAAAAAACCCCAAAAAACAAATGCTTACTTACTGCTCAGTACCTGCTGCATGCCGGGCACCACTCTAGGCATTGAAGATACGCTGGTAAACAAGCAAACCAGCGCTTATCATGTCCTCAAAGAACTGGGTAGTGGACACGTAAACAAGAGAACATTTAGGAACAGGTTCCAGAGTCAGGGGAACTGAAGAGGGAAGGATAGGAAGGATTAGAGTGCAGTGTTAGATAATGACCCAGAAAGGTCTGGAGAGGAGGACATTTGAGAAGGGAGGGAGGGAGCCATGTGGATAGCAGGGGGAAATCACAGGAGGGAGTGGAACCACACGTCCAAGGGCCCTGAGGCATGACTTTTCGGGGGTGCAGCTGGAGGGAGGCAAGTCGGGGTGGTGACAGGCAGCAGAGGATGCTGGGCTGTAAAGGCCTAGCAAGGACTTGGCCCTCTGAAATGAGCCCTGCCTTCAGTCAGGAGACACACGCATGCTCCACAGGGTCGGTGCAAAAGCGGGCTGTGATAATGCCTCCAGGCAGGTGCAGGCCGCTGCTGGGGGTCAGGTCTTTCTTGGGGATGACACAAGAAGGTCGACTAAGCAGGTGTAGAGGAGAAAGAAGCTTCCAGAGAGGCTGAAAGGCATCTGATGCGTGTGGGAAGGGTAGCAAATGCAGTAGGAAAGCACAGAGAAGCACAAGTAGGGAATAAATCCCAGACCTGCTGCTGATCGCTGAATTCTCTAGCCTTCAGTGCCTTCGTCTGTAAAATGGGTACAATGAGGACAACTACCTGATAGGCCCCCTGGGAGGGTGAAATGCCTGCACCTGTAAGTACTGTCAGTACTGTCATCATCGGGATCACTGCTGTTCCCCAGGGAGCGAGACGCCCGCGTGAGGAGGAAGCTCCGGAGCTCAGGGCCAGTCGCCACAGGGGCCTACGGGAGTGGAGGTGAGTGCTGCCCCAAGGGCCAGGGCCAGGCCCACCGAGACAGATCTGCCTCAGCAGCCTATGGCGTGTCTCCCCAGACACACCAGGGGGTCCCTGTGACTCCACCCTGGGAGGAGACATCCGGGAGCCAGACGCAGAGCAGGCCCTGGCCGCCCGGGAAGCTGCTCCCACCCCAGCTCCCCCTTGCAGTGGCCCCAGTGCCGAGGCCTACCTCCTGCACCCTGCCGCCTTCCACGGGGCCCCAGGCCACCTACCAAGCAGGTGAGCGGGCCAAGGGCACAGAGCTGGGCTGCTCCGAGGGCGCGAGGTCCCATCTCGACACAGTGTCTCTACCTCAGGAACCCCAGTTTCCCAGAGGCTCCAGACACTGGGCGCCCAGCCCCCTACGCTGCTGCATTCTTGGAACTACAGCCTGGACCAGGGAGCTCAGGCCACCCAGCAGCTCCACCTGCTGCATCCTTTGCCCCACCCTTCCTGCAGGGGGGCCCCTTCCCCCTGCCATATCCAGGGCCCGGGGGTTACCTGGATGTGGGCTCCAAGCCCATGTACTGAGCTGTCACAGGGCCCCTGCGGCCCACCTTCCATCACAAACCTGTTCCCTTCCCCATCCTTAGCCCCATTCCAGGCCCACCCCCCACACCAAATGGCTGCCTCGGCCCCGCCCCCCACTTCACACCCCGATTTCACTCCCACCCTCCTCTGGCTTCAAAGCCCAGGCAAGGCTGCTGGGAGTCCAGCTGGGGCCAGCTTCCCCTTCCAGGCTCTCACCTCAGTGTGAATGGAGGGGCTCTGCCTGGCCAAATGGGGCCACAGCCCAGCAGCATCCCCTGGGCCCCCCACACCACCAGTGGACACCACACCAGTCTGTCTTCAGGACCACAGCATTTTTGTTAATAAAACTCAAAAGACATCAGTGCTTGGGAAATGCTGGGCCTGCGGTGTTGACCCGGGTGGGGCAGGGTGAGCACAGCGTCACAGGACAGCTCGGCTGGAGCAGAATTCCCAGGCCGCCACTGCCTGGCCTTGCGCACGCCATCCGCCTTCAGCCTGCTCCGAGCTGCCTTCCTCTTCAGGAAAACTGGGGACCCGAAAACAGTGGGTGTTTGCAGAACTGAGGCTGCCTTTGAGAAGCCACCTTCTACCCGGTCCTGAGGAGGCCTGCAGGGAGCAGGACAGGCCTGGGCCTCGCCTTCCTCCCAGGGTTGGCCCCAGGCCAGCGTTGCCCCACACCCAAACAAGTCTGACATGAGCCTGGAGACCATTTTTCTTCTTTTATTAGAATTTTTTTCTTTTTTCTCAAAACTTTTATCTAAAAAAATTGCTTCCACAGCACATATACTTTTACTTTAAGCTCCACTCATTTGTTAAAAAAAAAAAAAAAAAGGAAAGAAAACAAAAATTTACCGGAAACTTCAGGGTTCGAGTGGGGAGAAAGGAGAGGAGGAGCATGGTACAAAGGCTCCGCCCTCTGCAGAGAAGTCCTTGCCCTTGAATGGCCCTGCAGAGACAGCCAGCTGGGGCAGCCCCTCCATGCCCGAGTCTGGCTGGGAGAGGGCACAGTCATGGTGGTCCAGGGGCCGGAGAGTGCGGGAGGGCCAGGGCCGAGGGGTCACAGGAAGTAGTCGGCCACGGGCTTCTTGGAGGGGATGCCCCGGGTCTCCTGAGGAGCGGCCTCGAAAATGATGAAGTCTTTCTGGAGATGCTCGTCCAGCTCCAAGATGGCTGCCACGTTCCCGCAGCTGGAGGGGGCAGCAGTCAGCACAGGCCAGCCTGGATCCCCAACCCCATCTACTGGCCCCGCCTGCTCACCGGTAGCAGTAGTTGGGTGCGGACCACACAGTGAGCACGGTCTCGTTGAAGTGCCACTTATAGCCTTCCATCACCAGCTGGTGGGCACGGCAGATCATATCGATGTCGTTGGCGGCATTGAACTGGGCCACCACATCACTGCCGAACAGGTAGCCGGCGCCGCGGGGGCTCACGCCCCAGCCTGTCGTGTCTGAGGCAGACAAAGTGGAGATGGGGCGGCAGAGTCTCCAGGTGTCTCTGGTTGCCCACCGCTCCTTGAAGAGGACTATTCTGTCCCCCAGCCCCATCAGCGGGAGAACCGTGGCAGGAGCATGGGGGGGAACACGTCCCAGGAGGTTCCAGGCACAGGAGGAGGGGCCCCCCCACAGCAGCAGGATCAGGTGTGGGGAGGACTGTCCTGGACAAACTGGGCTGTCAGGTCACCCTATGCCAGTGATGGCGAACCTTTTAGGGACAAGAGCCCAACCCAAAACCCACACGAATTAAACCTGAATACGGAGGTTTTAGTTTTGAAAAAGCAACTCGTACATTAACATCTTTTGTCTCCAAAGAAAACACGCATGCCATGGGTCCCCATCATGGCCCTGTGGTGTGTCAGAGCGCTCCAGGGGCAATGGTGGAGGGAGGCTGTGCCGGCACTGGCACTCGGGAGACCTTACACCTCAGCTCTGCACCTCACTGGAGGGGCTCCCCTGGAATAACCCCAGGAGCTGTCATTCTGGGTCCTGGCCTCTGAACCCAGTACTACTGGATTCCGAAGCTGAGCAAGTAGTTCTGTCTCAAGCAGCCTGTGAGCTATGGCCAGCGAGCTCCCATCTCTGGCTGAGCTCCAGCATCCTGCCACCTGTGCCTCTGTGCTTAAAGACAGCCAGTGTGGACCGGCGGTGCCTGCTCTTCCCGGAACTCCCCTTCCAGGCGCTTGCTTTCATCAATCTGAGCCAGCTGGGCCCTGCCCGCCTGCCTGCCCACCCAGCGTTACCTTCAGGGTCAGACCAGAGAAGGTCACACATGGGCCCGTCATGAGGCACCTCTTGCTTTCGGTCAATCGTCCGGATCTGGTCCAGGGTCTGGATGGAGGGGGAGAGGCCCCCGTGCACACAGAAGATCTGGAAGGGAGAGCAAGGCCAGATGGAGGGAGGCAGAGGCCCAGAGCCTCCCATCGCTGCACCTCGAGCAGTCGTGTGGTCACCCTACCTTGCCATCAATGATGGCTGAGAGGCTGAGGTAGTCAAAGATCTCCGTGCAGTAGCGCCACACGGTCACCGAGCCATACTTGCGCAGGCATTCGTCATAGAAGCCATAGACTTGGGTGATCTGGCGGCTTTCATGGTTGCCCCGGATCAAGGTGATGCGGTCGGGATAGCGAACCTGGAGGTCACCAAGCCACCGCTGGGTTGAGCTCTCGTCTGTTCCCCTCCCAAACTCCTACACATCTGCAGCCTGGTTACCTCCTGCCCGAATCCAACTGTGCCCAGTGCCTCCAGAGGAAGCAAACCTTGCTCCCAACCCTTAACTATAAAACCAACAGCTCCTCTTTCACCTGCCGGACACAGGCCCGAGTCCTCAGACTTTCATGGCCCTCTCTACCCTTCTACCCATGCACCCAGCATCCAGTGGTCCCCAGCTGCCCTCCCTGGACGCACCAACTCTCTTTGAACCCTCTGGCAGGACCTGGCCCACTGGCCTCTCTTCCTGTCCCTAGGCCAAGGCACTGATCTCTGCAGAACAGCTCCCAGGCAGGGGTCAGGAGGGTGGTGAGGATGCTCGGTGGCCCACAGTGGCCCAGGGCCAGGGTGCCGAGGCCAAGAGTTCCCACCTTCAATGCCAGCAGCAGGAGGAAGGTTTCAACGCTGTAGAAACCACGGTCTACAAAGTCCCCCATGAAGAGGTAGTTGGTCTCAGGGACATCGCCACCCACCTGTGGGAGGGAGAAGGGTCTGGTTGGTCCTGAACAGCCCTCTTCTCACAGCAGCTGCTCATGTTCTCATCCGCTGAGACCTTTCCCCAAGGCCCCTCCCACCCAGAGGCCCCGCCCCTCTGCACCCACCATGTGGGCTCCCAGTCCCCTGGGCCATGCCCACCCCCAAGCGCTTCCCACACTTACTCTGAACAACTCCTTGAGGTCATAGAACTGTCCGTGGATGTCACCACACACCTGGGAAGGCAGAAGGTGGGTTGGCACTCACGGGAGACACAGGGATACTTGCTTTGCCTCACCAGCTGCTTTCAGAGCCTCATGGTCTGGCTCTGCTGCTGTCTCCAGTCAAGTCTGCACCCCACCTCGTTAGTCTGCTCTGGTGACACACCCCATCCACAGTGGGAACCAACTGCTCTGGGCAAGAGCCAGAGGGAAATCCTTCCAGAGACTGGCACCTCCCCCTGTCCTCAGGGGACCTACAATAGTTATGGCAGATGGGGGAGCGGTCAGAGATACGGGGATTTCCGCTTCCAGGAATGAGAAGTGGACATGTGGGCACTAAGGGCAATGTCCATGGCCAGAAGGCCAAGCCAGGCTCTGCAGGGTGGACGGTACTCACCGTGACTGGCGAGTCTACCCTCTGCACGTTACTCTCTTCCACCAAGATCTCTCTGGAGACAGGAGAAGACCAGGGTCACCATGGCCAGGCCAGGGCAGCCCAGCCCAGCCCAATTCCTGACTTTGAGGATGGGGGGGACATGAGGTGGTCCTTGAACCTTCAGGGGCAGAAGGGAGGTGTGCAACTCCCTAGGATTGGGTGCCCATGGCTCTCCACCGCTTTCACCTTCACATAGCTTCCTGGTGCCCACAGGACAAAGTCCCAGCCCTTCTCAGTGGGCTGTGCTCTTCCGGCCTTAACTCTCCTTGCTGTACCCTCTGCTGCCTCCAGCACTCACTCTGGAAAGATGGCTCTCATCTCCACAACACAGCCCCGGGCCCTGACTGTCCCTTGGCCAAGCTCTGACATCACTCTACAACCACAGGGTCCTTCTCCCAAACCATCCAAAGGCAGGGGTGAAGGGCCTGGGCAGGCCAACCCAAGAGATGCACCTTTAAAGGAATGAAGCGTTGTTCCTACCCTTTCAACATTAGTTTCTGCTGGCTTGAACCACTGGTGGTACAAAGGGATCAAATCACTTTTTTTTTTGTTTTTGAGACAGGGTCTCACTATGTACTTCAGGCTGGCCTCGAACTCACAGTGATCCTCCTGCCTCAGCCTCCCAAGTGCCGGGCTTACAGGTGTACACCACCACGCCTGGCTTCTAATCACTTTTTTTTTTTTTTTGGTACTGGGAATCAAACTCAGGACCTTGCATTTGTGAGGCAGGCGTCGGAACCACTGAGCTAGATCCCTGGCCCTCTAATCACTTTTATTGGTCTTTTTACTAATAAAATTAGTACAACCTGCCCAAAGAGACAGTCATGCATGTACTTGTGGTTCAAGCCGGTGGGAACATAACACATTTAAATCAGAGCAGCAAGACACATGAAGTACATCCTGTGATGAACATGTTAAGACAGCAAGGGTCTGGGATGTGGCTCAAAGGTAGAGCACTTGGCTAGACATAGTGAGGACTATTTTGTTTTCTGTGAGGTACACCCTCACATGTATGAGTGAGCAGGAGATAAAATCACTGGGCCATGGGCCAGGGATTTAGCTCAGTGGTTTTGCTGCCTGCTGCGGAAGTGCAAGGACCCGAGTTTGATCCCCAGTATCAAAAAAAAAAAAAAAAAATCGCTGGGCCAGCAACAGGTACCCAATTTAAGCAGGACGGTGGGTGTGTCCACATTTCACCCAATGCTTAGTGCAGCAGTGAGTACTGGCACTCAGCCCATGACTGTCAGGAGCTTTGCACACACAGAAGGAGCTGAATAGTCACCCTAAAGAGCAAGAATTTCAGTGTCCTCCCAAAGGGAGATGCAGAGGCTAAAGCAGAGGTGACTATTTACTGGTTTGGCCACCGTCATTAAAGTGGGATTTGAACCAAGGTAGGCTGCCTCCGGGGTCTGACCCTCTCTTTCCACTCTTCATCAAGCTACTTAGATGGAAAAGGGCCTCAGGCCCCTCCTCACCCCTCCCACTTTCTGCTAGTCTTCTCCAGCAAACTGAGTTCCCTGAGCTCTCAGGGTATTTTCTATGACAAAGGAACACTGGGGAGGTGTGCCTTAGCTTCCAGGAAAAGTAAAAGGCACCAGTGGTGATCCAGGAGGTCAGAACAGCAACTAGGCTCTGCTACCTGTACTGACCATCATTCCACCTCAACTACTTACCATGACATTCCCAACACACATGGGAGGGTTTGTTCGTTCTCACCTAACACATAAAGCGAGGCTTAGAGAAAAGTGATAGAATCAAGGTCACATAGCTGGAAAGTGGCTGAATTAGAACTTGGGAATCCAAAAAAAAAACAAAAACAAAACAGGTTCCTGAGTTGATTCTAGTCCCTCCCACGGGCCCTGAGGCAAAACCTTAAACTTTGATAAGGCCACATACAGGGCCCTCCCTCTTTGCAAAACCCCACTTCAGGGCC